CTGCTAAGGGTGTTGGGCATCTTGGGCTTACTTCCTGGCGTACGGATGACAGCTACGTAGGATTTAATTTTTTTTCGGGGGTTTTCACTCCCAGAGACAGTTGGGGGGGGGGGGGGGGGCGTACTCCTATGCTTGCATGCCTTAGCCGTTAGACTATTGATCACGCGTCCTCGAGAGGACGGAGCATTGTTCCCACAGGACCGATCGCCGATGGGCAATCCTTCGTTGGATGGGCAATCGTTCCTTCCTTCTTTGCCAAAGATGGTTCAAAAATGTTTCCCTAGCCTATGTATCCTGTCGATATCACTTCCCGCCTTTTGAACCCACTTCCTATGCCCAGTACAGCTACCGTCTTCTCCTGGCTATGAGAGCTTCAAGCATCTCCCTGTATCTTCCTTCTGCTTTTCCCAGCTCAGTAATGTACACTTCCCTCTCCTTTTTGTACAGCCGACATTCCCCAACTACATGAACCCGGTCTTCGCACTCGAACCCACATTCACATTTGAACTTGTCATCTTCATTGTCTGCCTTCCTAAATCTTCGTCTACGTTCTCGAAGGCTAATTGTGTTCTTAATTTGACCTTCGCTTTCGCCTGCATCCATTTATGTAGGTACTCCTTGAACGCTATCCCTTCTTTCAGCATTTCGTACACATCTGGACCCTCCTCATCCGTGATTTCTTTGGGTAGATTCTGTTCTTTGTCGGCAAAGACAACAGACATCTTCTCCTTGAACCCGTTTAGACGCTCCGTTTCCAGCGTATCACCTTCGTCAATTTTGAACTCCTTTCATACGTCATCTACAATCTTGACCCACTCCGTGGGCGGTCTACCCCTCTTCTTGTTTGCCCACTTCGCCTCGCAAACTATTCTCGGCAACCCCTGCTCTACCATATGGCACATGCGGCTGCTATTTTAGCTTCCTTGCGTCTCTTCCCAATCGTAGGGATTGGATCCCCTGTTCTGCCCTGACGGCTGCATTACTTGTGCGCTTGAAGCATCCTGGGGTGGAATTTCGTTGCTTTCATCTGGGCCGCCTCGAGCTCTTTGACTACCTTCTAATTTCCTTCCCATACTTCTCCGGCGTACTCTTCGGGCGGTACGATTACGCTCTTCAAAACTGTCAACGGGAGGAGGGGGAGGGGGGTAAAATTGCAACAATTGCTAGCAGCCGTCGGCAGGGGGTGCTCTTTGTTCTTAACCCACCTGGGTCGAAGCTTCGGCAGCGCTGCGTGCGCCCTCTCGCTCCTCTTCCCCCTCGCTGCGCTCTCTGACGTGTATCGTGCAAACATCTCGCTCGCAACATATTTATTTTTTTATTTACTCCTGGTACTTTGCCTAGCGCCTGGCGATGTATCTATCATATCACTGCTGTCGTAACTTTTTTATGATGTTTGTGGTCCCTCTGCTTGTTGCTGTTCAGGGCGGTGGTGAAAACGGTCGTGCCGGCCGTGTACTGGAAGGATAAGGCCGAGGGAACCTTCCGCTACGACCACGCCTGGCTCAGGACCCACTCGGAATCCGTGGTTTTCTGTGGCGTGGGGGCCGTTGAAGGAAGGGAGAGGGATCGATTGGGGGAGAGTTTCAATGCCGTCGTGACCGCCTGGTGAGAATTACCATTACTAGGAGTGGGGTCGTATTTTGGCGGAGCTACGTTAACGTGTGTGGGTTTGCGGCCGGCTCTTCTGGCAGACCTTGCGCAATAATCAGAGGCTTCTGTCGAAGAGGTTGCTTGTCCATCGTTCTAGTGATTCGATCGCTCCGCGATGTTTTTCGAACGAGTATGAATGCATGTCCAATCACGCCTAAGAGCCAATCTCGACACCTCTACCAGGTGCGAATGCACTGCCGCGACAACACAACGGCATTCGCTGTTTGCAGTGGCCGAAAAGGACAATTGAGCTACCGCTGTGTGTGGTACACCACAGGTACGCCTGGCAGTAAAGCTGTGATTTCGAACAGCGTGCAACTAGTTCCTGCTGTCACTTGAACGGGGTGTCACCACAACTGCTGCTGTCGTGCAAGTTAACGCCAGCTAAATCACGCTGGTTGTTTGGCCGCTCCCGCGTTTTGCATCCGAACAATTTTCCGGCTCTCCCCGCAAATCGCCGAAACAGGTGGGAGGTGATAAGGCGTCACGTCCCCCTCTACTTGTTTACACAGTTCTTCGACTACCTTGGCTCTATCGTCAACTACGCGGCTGTCGGCGGCGCCATCTTGTACTTGTCCAAGGCGGAGGGGATGGGGGAGGCGGAGATCGCCGCCCTTGTGGCGCGCGGCAGCTTTAGCTGCCTTTACCTTATCGACGCGTTTTCCAAGGTAAAGCAGTCAGTGTTGCTCCATCTTCAGGGGGCAGCGTATTTCCTCGTGTTTTGGGCAATTTGGTAACGTTGGACAGCGTGCGCCCTCAAAACAATACCCTTCCCTTCCCACAAACAACGCCGGCCTCTTGTTGGGTTACTTTCGGAGGGACGTCCCGTACCCCGCATCTTGTTAGTTTATTTGCCTTACATTGAGTACAGTATCCGTGTCTTGTTGGTTATTCACCGTGCACGAGTATCCGAGGCAACGGCTCCTAGTGGAGGAACATAACAGACAACAAAACGAACATTTTCGGTTTTCGTCAACCTTTCTCCTTGTCTTTCCGGCCCCTCCTCCAACAAACAGGCGCTGCGCGCGTCAGAGGCAGCGAGCAGAATGGGCGGCAGCGCCAGGCGTGTAGCCGAGCTTCTCCGGGCAACTGGCTTATCGGACAGCGACGCCCGAGCATTCGGTCCTTGGTCGACGGAACCCAGTGTACGCCGTCCCTCCCGGAACAATGGCGGCGGCGGCGGAGCGGGCGGGGTCGGGCGCGGGGGTGGCGAGAGCTCCGAACATCGACCAGGGGGTGGGGGGAGGCGGGCACGGGGTGCGCGCGGCGCCCGAAGCAGCAGCAACGCCTTGACCGCGGTGGTCTGGAGCCGGCTCGGCTGGAGACGATTTCTCACCGCCGTGAAGAAGGAAGCCGACAAGGAGGACGAGATGGAAGTGGGGCGGGGACACAAGCGGGGACGCGACGCCCGTGACGCCGACGACGAAGAGTGCCCAAGGGAAGGCCACCATTCTGGGGACTACACTCCGCCCGTCGTCGGTACCGGCGGCGGCGAGGCAGAGGGCCGGAGCCTTCTTGCCGTCGCCGGAGGCACGTCTTCGGGCGGACACCCTGCGGGGCGTTCCGCTAGCGAGGATGGCGTTTTCGTCGGTGATCGTGAGTGCAGTCGTGGTTCCGGCTACGTTGCTTCCGCGTTGTCGGCGGCGGCTACGGCGGCGGCTACGGCGGCGGCGGCGGCGGTTTCCGACGAGGGGAGGGAAGACGAAGCCGACGGGGGCGGAGGCGAGCGAGAGGGTGATGACCCCGGCTGGCTGCTGAGGGTCGAAGGGTACACCGTGGCCCAACCGGAGCAGCAACTTGGTCTCGGCGACGATTGCAGCAGCGAGGAAGACGACGATAGCGGCGACGACGCAGACGTCACCGACCCACGGGAAGAAGCTGTTGACGGGGATGCAAACGGTAGCGGCGGCGACGACACCAGAGGCGTCGGTGTAGACCGGGTGGTATCTCCTAAAGACGGCGAGACCTTAGCTTCTCCGGGAGCGGGCAGGGGCGGCCGCGGCAGCCGGAGCAACAACCGCAGGACTGCACGTGGGACCCTCGCGGCGGGAGCCGAACAACATGGAAGCAGAGGCGCGGGAGCGATCGTCCGGGAGCTCAGTCTCACCGTGCGCCGCGGGCACAACGTCTTGATCACGGGTCCGAGCGGATGCGGCAAGACCTCGCTCCTGAGGACCATCGCGGGCCTCTGGGAGGCAGCGGCGGGAACGGTCGAGCTCTGTCCCCGTGTGGAAGCGTGTCTGCGTGCGCACGAGGAGCGGGGAACCACCGGACGAAGGAGGCCGGTCGCGGGGGACCGTGAGGTTGGCGGGGGGGTCCTCTTCGTGCCGCAGCGGCCCTACTGCTTTCGAGGGACCCTGTTCGAGCAGGTCGGTCCGTTTCTTCTAGTCAGCCTCCTCTGTTTTAGTTTTTGCGGCGTCTTGGCGGCATCGCCTTAGCTTTCGCTCGTTTGTGTGATCGGGTAAAGGTCGCACTGGCCGCGAGTTTGTTTCAGAAGTTTGGCGGTACAGGAAGCACACGGCAAAAAGCACGACTACAACAGTGACGCATGTTGCCTTCGCAAGCGCGTCCCTCAAGTGTGCGCTAGGGGCGATCCTTTTCTCGTTTGCTCTTTTCTCGTCACTCTTTTGGTGTTCGGTGGCGATGATGATCATGGACACGACAAAATAAATCAACCCGAACTTGCTGTCCTCGCACGCCTCCCCATCGCTACAACAAATCCAACAATCCGCGTGTCCTCCGTTTCCCCTCACTCCGCCCCGAAAAAATGAACACCAAGGTTACGTACCCAGCTAGAGGCGACCAAGCTTCGCCCGCAACGGTCAAGCGCATTCTGTCAGCCCTGGGCCTGTCCCATCTGTTCAGCCTAGGCAACGGCGGCGGCGGCGGAGGTGATGACGCGTGTACCGAGCAAAGAAACGGCGGCTCCTCCGCCGGTAGCACCGGTCACGCCTTGGACGCAAGCGGGAGCACACTTAGCGGCGACACTCGCAGGCGTCTCAGCTCTAGCAGTTGGACAGCCTCCGCCGCGCCGCGCGCGGGAGCTGGCGCCTTCGGGGGTCCGCACGGCTTCGATGACCGCAGCAGCTCGAGGCAAGCTAGGAGGAATAGCAACAGCAGCAGCGACGGCAGCATCAGGATCAAAGACGACGTTGTTGTCTTTGACGACGAGGAATCGATCACTTCGCCACTCATTGGAGACGAGGCAGAGACCGTCGGTTTCTCTTCCTCGTCTGCCGGTGGTGGCGACTTTCCGACCCCCCCGGAGGGTTCCAAAGGAAGAGGAGGAGGCGGGACGAGACGGCTCTCGGACACCCGCCAATCGCCGCACCAGCAGCAGCAGCAACAGCCATCGCATGTCCGGGAGGGAGAAACGACAGGGCGTAGCACAAGAAGCGGGGGGGCGGTCGGGAGAAGAATAAAAAGAGGGCTACCCCCAGCCCGGCGGCGACGCGACTGGGCCTCCATCCTGTCCATCGGGGAGCAGCAGCGGCTTGGCATCGCCAGGGTGCTGTACCACCGCCCGGCCCTTGCCTTCCTAGACGAGGCGATGAGCGCCGTCACCGAAGAAGCGGAGAGAGACGCCTACGGTCTCATGCGAGCGGCCGGGGTGACGGTGGTGGCGATCGGCCACCGCACCTCTCTGCGCTCTCTCCACGAGCGGGTGCTGGCTCTCCGGGGCGCTCCGGACGGGACGTGGGAGATCTCGGAGATGTGCTCCTCGAGGACCGAGGCCCACGCCTCGGGGAACGAACACGCGACGTTGTAGCGGTGTGCGCCCTGATGCTTACGATGATTCGGCACGTGACGCTGTAGGGTTAAGGGTACGTGCCACGCCTTCCTTCTGATGTGCGAGGAAGCTTGAGGAACGTGGGTGTCGGTACCCCCCCCCGGGCACGGAGAAGAAAAAGTCCTGCCTGGCCGGTACGTAGTGTTTCGGATGGACGAGTTATGCGACACGTGGGAGCGCGTGGCAACCGCCCACCGTTTCCTGTCCCTATTGGGGACAGGCCTCTAGCAAAGTATTAGGACAAGTTGTGAGACTTGCGAGGTCGTGAAGCCTCGGCAGCTGGGCTTTTTCTTGTGGTTGTTCCGGCTTGGTTGTCATGGCATTGAAAGACGCATTGGCTGTGGAATCAAGATTGTGCATCGGGTTCAGCGACATAGGAAGGAGTAGTCACCCGTATTGGTGTGTTGATCGACAAAAGCTGTTTTGTGTACGCACCCCCTTGGAGCTGGTGGATGGTGGCATCAACCCCCCGTCTTTCGTTCACCACAAGCGTCGACCACTTCTATCTTATAACCTCTCAGAGGAACGAAAAAACAAGAAGGATCCAGAGCAGCGACCATGGAGAAGCCCTCTGCAAAACCCTCCGACGCGCGTATCTATGACGCCGGAGTCGTCTGCCCCTACCCATGACGCCCGTGCCGTTGGTCTCAAACGTTTGGTCAGGCCAGACCGCCACAAATTAGACTACGCGGGATTACTCTCCAGCCTCAGTACTTCACACTGGTCATGCCCACGCAAGACCTTTCCGCCCCGCTGTTGCGAAGGCACCCCCGTTCAAGCAGCAGCGTTTAGCAGCGGCACTTGGACGCAGGGTCCGCCTTGAAACTCGAACCCTCGCCAACGCTATGGTACCGTTAATTCCCGCGCTACCAGGGAGCCACGGGTCCAGCTTGTCTTTCCTCTCCTAGCGCGCCACATCTATAACGAAAGCCGTTGCAAAAAAATACCGCCCTTCTCCACACACAAAGTCGAGCGTGCGCTCATGCAGTCACGCGTCACGCGGGCGTGAAACGCACCCCGCCGCCATACGGAACTCCCACACCGCCGCCGCTGCCGCCTCCTCCACCCCCCCCCGGCGCGAAACCGCTGCCCCCCAAAATATCTGCTAAGTTCGTTTGGCTATTCAAGGTGGAGCGGCCTCCGTTCCTAGCCATGCGCTGGGCCCCTCGCGCTGCGTCTAAAGCGGCCGCCGCCGCCGAGGCCGGGCTGGCTCTAGCGCCCACCGATCGAGTAGCGAGGTTTTCGATGTGCTTCTCGACGGCTGCTAGGTTGTGCTCGTACGCCTGGATGACGACGGTGTAAGGTGGGACAATACAGCGCACGTTAAATAAACAAATGAGGTCGACGTTCACAACTACACAACGACCTTCGCTGCATGAGGCAACGCCGTACGTGCAGAACTCCCACCTGCTGCTGCTGTGCTAGGGGGGGGGGGGGGGCCTGCTGCAGAACAGGATTAACCTCCACCAAAACGCCCAAACACAGCTGTAGTTCAAACACCACGCGGGGAAAAAAAAATGACCATGAACGTCTAAAAATATGCACGCACACCTGCCCGCGGGAGGAGAACCAGTCGACGAAACGGCCGGTGAGGTCGGAAGCTCTTCTTGTCTTGGCGTGTTCCTCTTGGAGGCGTGAAACCGTCGTCTCAAGGCTGGCCAGGGACGCTTGTCGGGCCCGGAGGGCGCAGTCCGCGCGAAGAGCGGTGAACGCCGCCTGTTTCGTGAGTTCGTCCACAGCGACAAACGGGAGGCAGAGCTGTAAGTGTACAGTAGTTTTAATCGAGAAACAAGTGACAAGGAACCGCTGGGGTCCACGTTGGCTGAAAACGATGCTTACGGCACCTTAGGGGGAGACTTCTTCGTATTTCGAAGGCGAGAGGGGAGGAAGGGGGGATTGTGGGGACCTGTTTGGATGCACATGCGCACCCAACAGAATGCGCTCGCCTCTTCCTGCCGGCGTGCCAGAAACAAAGAAACGGCAGAAAAAAAACTTTACCCACGACGCCTCCTGACGCGAAAAAATAGCACCACAGCAGTGACCCGCGCCTTGCTCATTAGCGTGCGCGTGCCTGGTAAACTCGCACCCACAAGCAACTAAACATCGGAATAAAAACAACACGAAATGAGACAAAAACACGCTACTGCTATGCCCACCTCAGCGTCGCGGGCGTTGGCCTTGAGGGCCAGCTCCTCCTTGGTCGCCGCCCCCTGCAAGCACGCCTCGATTCCGCCAAGGCGTTCGTTGCTGGACCCGGAGAAGTCTCCAAGCGACGTCTAAGAACACATGGCCGGGACAAGTTTTGACGTCGAGGGTCGAGGGAGTGTCTCAGAGAGAAATCGCCAACAACGCATGTGGCAGCAGAGGACACTATGTACGCGTGTATGCATACGCAATAATTTGTGGAACATGTAACGTCAGCTGACAACAAATAAATGCAACTCTTAAGACCAAACAAAACGTACCGTAGCTCAGAAAAAAAAGGGGCGCCATTCAGCACAAGTTCGCACTAACTTTGGGCAGAGCATGCTACATAGAAAATGCAAAGCACGATGTGTCGTATTCAATAGTGGGATATGAGTGTCATCAGACCAATTGTTAATTGGCCAATCGAGTGTATTGCAACGAAGGCGAGGAACACGAATGAATGTGATTTATTGGGGGACCCATGAGGCGTCCAGAGCGCGGGAGTGATAAAAAAAGGGACTTGGACATGGGCCCCCAGAGAAGATAGAAATCTCGGCTGCCCTTGTCACAGCAGCTGTGCAGTTAGTTAACTGCTGGGCCGCGCTGTGGTGTGCTGTGCTGCAATGCAACTCGGAAGCAAGCGTGAAGAGACCATGCATCGGGGAGGAACTCGATGACAACACCATCGCGGGAAATGCGATGGCCCAAAAATGTTTTTGGTCGAAATGCAAAAAAATATGTAAAAAAATAGGTTGGTACCTCCAGCCGGGATTAAACACGGAAGGAACCAGAAAAAAAGGAAAAGCTGCCACCTGCTGTTGAATTGCATGTGAGGGTTGTAAGAAAGGGGCGAAAGTAGTCCGAACCGGGAAAAACAGAAAAAGTAGAATTCGAAAAAACGTGATGCCTCCAACCGGGATCGAACCAGTGACCTTGGCAACTTCAGTGCCACGCTCTCCCAGCTGAGCTATAGAGGCTGATAACCATCGCCTAACATTGGCGCCTCCAGCTAGAACAGGAAGAGCAAACTGGGAAAAGCAGCAAAATAGTTTCGAAAAATAAGATGCCTCCAACCGGGATCGGACCAGTGACCTTGGCAACTTCAGTGCCACGCTCTCCCAGCTGAGCTATAGAGGCTGATAACAATCGCCTAACATTGGCGCCTACAGGCGGAACAGGAAGAGCAAACTGGGAAAAGCAGCAAAATAGTTTCGAAAAATAAGATGCCTCCAACCGGGATCGAACCAGTGACCTTGGCAACTTCAGTGCCACGCTCTCCCAGCTGAGCTATAGAGGCTGGTGCACCACCATCGGTCGCCCCGGTCCTCTAGTGGGTAACCTCGCAGCCTTCTAAGGGCCAGGTCATGGGTTCGAGTCCCGGCAAAGTGAGTTTAGTTCTCACTAAAAAAATCCTGGTCTAAGTTGGAAGCGACGCGCTGCGAAGCTCGTTGTTAGTAAACTCGATCGACTTTAAAAGTCGCGAGGGAAGGGATTGCTGTACCCTTCTCGCGATAAAAATATCTCAGGCAGGAACCGCAGGAGGGGGTGCAACCCCCCCCCTCCTATGTGACCCCGGTTGGGTCGTCTAGCTAGTAGAAGTGGAGGATAGGGGTCAGAGGGGCAGACGACAGAATCCAACGATGGGAGAAAAACAATTAAATATATATATATCTGTGGTCGAACGTTGGCGTCGGAATCGTAGAGCAAACTGTGCAAAGCAAAAAAATAACTCCGAAAAATGAGTTGCCTCCAACCGGGATCGAACCAGTGACCTTGGCAACTTCAGTGCCACGCTCTCCCAGCTGAGCTATAGAGGCTTACTTTCAACCACAAATATTGACGCCTCCAGTGGGGATCGCAGACGGAAGTACATAGGAAAGAATAAAAACTTGGCATAGGTGCTGAAGATTAGGATTGAGTCAGATCAGAAAACACGGCTTCCCGAGACATACATACAAGACCGGCCTTTTGGCCATCCGGTTCATCATGTAATTGACCAGGTCCGGTTGCTGGATGTTGTTGGTGAAAATGCGAACAACAGGTGGCGTTCGTTCGCGTCAATTTTTCGTTTTCATCATGTTCTGAGGTAGGTGCGGGGTGTGGGTGAACAACCGAAATTTTCCGCATACCTCGGACGAAGGTGGAAACAAAAATTAATGTCGAGTTTAATTGCCAGCTCGGTGAAAAAAATATATATATCTCCTCATGGTATGTGTGCACCTCCTGCAACGTAGACAGCAATGAATGGTGAAGCCCGGATGGCAAAAAATACCGCGAGGAAAACGCGCCGCAACAAGCCGTTGCAGCATAATACAACAAGTTTCCCGGAGACCACTCGCAATAGTGCGCGATCTCACATAATAATCCGTACGTGAGGTTTCGTCGGAACTGTTTGTGATATCTGTGTGCGAAAATCGAACAAAATCACCGCTCTATCGTAAAAATGTTGTTTTAGCGCACGTTTGTGCGTTTGATTCTTCACTCCCTCGCACTTTTGAGCTACACAGCAGCAGTGGTGCAACTTGTTGTATGCTAGGGATGAAATGCACCTGGCTTATTTCCGCTGAATAGCGTGAAGAGGTAGGTGTAGGTAGTGACTGGAGATAATTGTGCAGAAGTCAGATTTCGTAGAGATCCATCAACAACGAGGACGATCACTGGCACGTCAACGAACTGTGAAACAATGAAATAATCACCTATTATTAGGCTATTCTTCAGCTGAGCTTTTTTATGTTGTTTTTTTCTCCTCTCTCTTTCTGGGAAGGATCTGCAAGCAAAAAAAACAACAGATCCGAGCGACCTTCTTACGGCCCCTCGAGAAGTAATTTTTTTTTTTTCCGAGTGGACAAAAAGGTCAACTCAAGTTTACGTGGGTCACAGAATGATTCAGTTATCGTGTTCGGCTCGTGTGCGGCCAACAAGACACGGAGCGGCCTTTTTGGGTCGCCTGCAAAGGGCATGTGTACGACCTCACACCAGTGACGGCCGTTTGTGGATATCGTCGGCCTAAGGCCTCTCTCTGGCATCCATTCTTGACTGGTCAGACTCGGAGCAACCAGAAAACAAAGGCAGACGCCAAAAAAGTCAACATCGAAACCCACTTCGGTTCACGTTTGCTGCAGGCCGTTTGCAAAAAAACTGGACAATACTCCCTGTTTTTGGGGCGCCTCAAGAGGGTATATGTACGGCCGCACGGCTATGGTAGCCGGAACAAGAAAAAAGTAAAAAAACGTCAACATCTAGCCACCCTTCGGCTCACGTTTGCAGGCCGTGCTCAATCAAAACTAGACAATATGCCTTGCTTCCGGGACGCTTGCAGAGGGTACATGTGTGACCGCACGCCGCTGGCTGCACTTTGTGGATGTCGTCGGCTCTCTCTCTGGCATCCGTTTTTGACTGGTCATATATATATGCAGCAGCCACGAAAACGGCCTTTTTTGGGCCGAAATGGCAGGTTGACGTTTTCGGCTCTTGTGCGGCCAACAAGATGCAGAACCCTCTGAATTTTAGATACCTGCAGAGGTGTTTTTGTGAATGGCCTCACGATATTGGCCTCTGGGCAACAGACGGTGCAGTTCGTCGTTCTGGCACGATTGGCGTATGAATCCCCATTTTCCTTCAGCGAATATGTCAGCCGATCCCATTTTCTCACTCGCCAGCCGGAATCCTTAGACATATTCGGGCTGCAAAAAAATGGGTGCTAGGAACTTGTCATTTCCCTCCTCGTAAGTAAGAAACCTATTTTTATTGGGCTACATAAAAAAATAAAGTGACCCCACCGCCCAGAAAAAAACTGGAATAAACCAAGTCCACCTCTCCATCTGCTCTATTCCTTTCTTTTTCTTTTTCTTTTTCTTTTTCCCTTTCTCTTTCTCTTTCTTTTTCTTTTACTTTTACTTTTACTTTTTCTATCTTTTTCCAATCTAGGGTTACCTCGCATAGCGTGCAGAGAGGCGAGCGGAATGGCCTAGACTAGCTGTCGTTGACTTTTATTGGCTTGCGGACCCTTGTGGTTCGTTTTATTTTCGTATACTTTTTTTGGGTAAGTTAGCCTGTGACCACGGGAATCGACCCCGTCAAGTGTTAGAACTAGTACGGACAGAAGAAGGTACTGAGCAGAGAGAACGGAACAGTTTTTTAATGTGAAGACAACAACAACAACAACAACAACAACAACAACAACAACAACCTAAAAAACACATGCGTAGTGAACAGTTGGAAAAACTCGGCTTAATAAACAGTCTCATTTGTGTTCATGCACAGGAACAAAGACGAATGGTGTATTGTTTGCGTGAGAAGAAGGAAAGTATAAAAGTGTACTGCTGTTTGGTCTGCAAGAAAAAGAACATACTAAGCATATAAGTGAACGGGATGAGAAAGCTTTGATAGTGATGATGTGTGAGCAAAACAATATTTCGCCAGGAAATGAACTCGAGACCTCGAAATCTGAAGCGGCCAGGAATTCTAAGACGACTTAGACTTTTTGAGGACAACATGGCGTTACATTGCCGGGCAGAGTGAGAGAGAAGAGTCCACCTCTTCAACGTCTTCAGCTGAAACTCCAGAGTATACAAGTAGCACATACTCCGGAGTGGTTGTTGTTGTTGTTGTTGTCTTCACATTAAAAAACGTTCCGTTCTCTCTGCTCAGTACCTTCTTCTGTCCGTGCTAGTCTAACACTTGATGGGGTCGATTCCCGTGGTCACAGGCTAACTTACCGAAAAAAGGTATACGAAAATAAAATGGACCAGAAGGGTCCGCAAGCCAATAAAACTCAACGACAGATAGTCTAGGCCAGCGGAGTCCGTCAATAAGAAAAGGTCTTGAAAAATACAAAAATACTCAAGTGGCAAAAAAAAAATGTTGTCAAATAAAAAAAGATGCCTCCAACCGGGATCGAACCAGTGACCTTGGCAACTTCAGTGCCACGCTCTCCCAGCTGAGCTATAGAGGCAGATGAGGGTTATCGGGATGTCACGTCTTTTGACCTCCGACTGCTGTATTGTTTTGCGATAAACGAGGTAGGTTTGTGTAGTGGAGCGCACTACTAATAGCAAATGGTAAAAGGTGTGTTGCAGCTATGATTCCTCTCCGAAAGTGCGTCAGAAACGACGAAAAAATACCAGCTGCTCAAAAGACGAATAGTTGCCGAACGGAGGACACAAATCCCTCGCGTAAATGGGAAAAGAAGGTCCCAAACCTATGTAGAAACCGCACCCAAAACCACATAATACCTTGAGCTCGTTCGCGTCGCGCCTGAGGCCCCTCAGCTGCCTGGTCTTGGAGCTGGTCTCCTCGATGAAGGACCTGCGGAGGTCTGCTAGGTCTTGTGCGACGGCCTGAGACGAGCGTCTGGACTCGGCCCAGAGCAGTGCGGTGCCGGCAGCGGGGGTCGCAACATGGAGGCAACGTCGCTGCTGTTAACACTGTTCTTGTCTAGCGGTTGCTGTTGCTGGTCCCGTTGTTGCTGGTGCCTTTGCCACATGAATTAAGTCTGCTGAAGGGAACTACAGTATATATGCTGTACGTGCTTGGGAATAGTACACCACATCCCGTTCGACTGTGGGTATATCTCGAATGGGTAGTCTTTCTGTGTGTGTTTTTATTATTCCTTAATAGTATTCCAACGCCGATACAGTCCAAATGAGACAGCCGGGGGAACACCATGAGCGGAACGACGGTTGTATCCAGCCCGCCGGAGGACTGTTAATTTCAACATATCTATACAGGCAATAAACAGCGTAAATACCTAATGGGTCAGACTTTGAATTTCGGACAAGTGTTCCATCCACGTCGTACACGGAGGTCCACCGCTTTGGCGCAAAAAAAGCATTCCTTGCTTGCGGCAATACACATGCAGATCTCCGAAAATATCCACGAAAAGGAGGAAAGTGCCCCCCCCCTCCTCCCCCCGACGGGAATCCACGGAAGATAGTAAAACCAACATCGTCGTGATGATGGCTACCCCACAAGCGCCCGGCGTGCAAAAGCATGGTTATTGTATCTTGCGACGAAACACAACTGTTTTTTCGGGGTTTTCCTTACATACCAGATGGGATAAGATAAAGGTGTACCTACACACACCATCGTACCGTTGTTCCCGCAACCGGAGGAAGCCTAGCAAACAAGGTGCCGTTTGGCGTTCCCGTGGGTTGAAACGCGCCCGCAGTAATCAGCCAAGAGGGAAGAAAGTGTTGAGAAGCTTTGTCGTTTCGCTCTTAACGGCACAACAATCTCCTCGTTTACGACCACCAACAAGCACGGCGCACGCCCTCACTTGTCAGCCCTCTCAGCGAGGTTGGCCTTCACGTCTCGCAGGGCCTCTCGCGTGTCCTCCTCATTCTCCCTTCGCTCGCGCTCTCCCCGCTCCAACCCCGCCTCCAGAGTCGAAACCCTTCGCGCCGCGTCGTCCAAGAAATCCGAAACTGTCGACACCTTGGCGCACGCCGCCTGCATGTTGTCCAACTCCGACTGTGTGCGGTGGGATGGAAATAAGCCAGGCAAGAAGGGAACCGGGGGGGGGGGGGGGTACTCATAGTCGTGCATGCCGTAATCGTTTGACCATTGACCTCGCATCCCTACAAAGCCGGGACGGAGCACTCCGGGTTCTCACCGGACCAGGCTCTCACATCACCAAGCGCGAAGCGAACCGGGGGGGGGGGGGTACTGGGGTTACTCAAGCGCAGAAGCCTCGGAGTATCATCATCAAGGGTGACTTCGATGGGTCGTACATATAGACTGTTCTCCAAAAGTCTATCCGGCTGAGAGCGTGGGGGGTTGCGCCGAGCAGGCACGGAATGGATGGAATACAGCGGGACATGCTCATTGGTTGATGTCTTCAATCAACAGCAGCAGCAGCAGCAGCAGCAGCAGCAGCAGCAGCGGTGTCCTTCTTGTTGCCTCTGCAGAGGACTTGAAAGCCGACGCTACCACACACTAAACAGAGTGCGCCCGCCATGGCATACGTGAACAATGGGGCGTATTTCAAGGCCCACAAGAGGTTTAGCCATCGCATTGTCGTGGGTGTCAGCTCAGCGTAGCGCTCACCCTATCGATCTTGGTGCTCAATACCCCTTCGACGGCTAGCAGCTTCCCGGCGAGCCCGCGGTTGGCCCTCCCGAGGCTATCTGCGAAGTCTCGCCCGACTCCCCACTGCCGCACCGCCCGTTCGCGCTCACGGATGCAGGCCTCGAGCTCCTCACCCTGCATGTACACGAACGTACGTCGTAGCTTGTAGTCTGTGGTTCAGCATTGTGACGCGATACATATAGAACAGCTTCAAGGACTCAGGCTAGCGTAGAGACTACAGGGAGATGATTTGTCGAATGATTGCACACTCTTTAGGACCGGGATGCAGGCTTCAAAGTCCACCCGGCCCCTTCCCTGCACATGCCATGCGACACAACCATTCCGATGGTTTCCCGTGCATTCTTCGAGCGCCTTGAGCTCTTCTCACCCTGCCGCACGCGGAAACGCGGCGTTTACTTTCAAGGCCATGAAAAAAGGTCTGTTTTTTTCGGGCTCCTTCTACGCCCGGAGCACCCAACTTCCGGGCGAGGTGGTACGAGGCGGGGGGCGGGGGGGAGGCGGGGGGGAGGCGAACTGATGCAAACTCTTACAGTAGGCCCGAGGCCATTTGCCTTACACCCCTACGCTACCGGGACGGAGCGGAGTGGCAATCTGGGTTTCCGCCGGCGTGAGTTGCGTTTTCAATCGTAGGGTACCGCCTGCTGGGTCATTCACCACCGCGTGTTTGCCGCGTTGAACAGGAAGTTGCTTTCCGTGTTAGTTTACTTCATGGGACTGCCTGTTGCGCCATGCTCTTGTCGCGTCTGCCTGTGCTGCGAGCGCGCAGTTCTACTCTACCGGTTGGATTCCTGCGGAGTACCGAGGCACGGGGTAGAGACTACCACGGGTCTTTTGCGTCTGTTGTTGAGACAACAAGTTCTCGCTCAGGCAGCAGCAAAGAGGATCATGACGACAGCCGCACCTTGGCCGACAGGTCATCCCTCCCGGCCTTTTCTTCCAGTTGCTTGGACAGACCGAGCAACGCCTGGGCGGTGATCGCCGGGGGATACCGAAGCACATGAGGCGGCGGAAATGTGGTCAGGAAGCACGCCGGCACACAATATACGCGCAATCAGCATGACAAGCGAACGCTGCGCCGAATTTAAGCCACGACAACAACACCATATTGTTATATACTCGAAGGACAAACAAACCATCGGCTATGAACACAGTGTACGGCCACCGGTGCCAGATTAACCTCCCCAGTTGCTATGTACCGCACGGCGACACAGCACACGTGCCGAACAAGAACGCCTGGCTCCATGATCAACCGGATGGGTCAGGAATGACGGACACGGGGCACCGGTGCGGCACTCTACCGAGGAGGCGTTCTCTAGACGGCCACAAGGACGAAGAAATCAACAAAAAAAACTAAACCCTTACACCATCATGCTGACAAAAACAATAAGCGTCGTGCAGTCCACGTCGCGGTTTCTGGGTGGCTTGAACACCGCTAAGGAATCGTGCGCGTGTCCTCGAGCTCCATCTGCCGCAGGCATCGTTTCCAACTCGAGGCGACTGCCGTGGTCACAACCAAGGTTGCAGTACCGCTTCTTGTTGCATAGCGTGTTCACGCCGAAACAAACACGCGCCGTCAAGCCGGTGACTGCTCCCAATCTGGCGGGGGATTCGCTTCCCTACACTACGCCATCGCGGTACCCGTGCCCCTCCCCCCCCCCCCCCC